ATACAATGTAATACACAAATCTTAATTGTTCATTCACTGGGTTTTGACAAATACATACATCTCTGTAACCCAATCCTTTATTAACATATAGAAAAGCATTACCAACCCCAGAAAGTTCTCTCCAGTCCCTCCTGAGTGACCCCTTGTCCAAAGGCAACCACCAATCTAATTTTTATCCAGTTAGATTAACTAGTCTTATACTTCACATAAATGAAGCAAATTTACAATGTGCACACTTTGTGGTAGGATTCTATTAACACAATAATGTTTTTCAGTTAAATTCATATTATTGTGTCAGAGTTTGTTGATTTTTATTTCTAAGTAGTATTCCATTTTATAACTATATTATAGTTTGTCATCAATTCTATTTTGATGCACACTTGTGATGTTTCCAGTTTGGGGATACTATAAGCAAAGATGCTATAAACATTCCATACAAGACTTTCTGTCAGCATCCATTTTTATTTTTCTCGAATAAATGTCTAAAGTTGGAATTGATGGGTCAAAAGGGTGGATGTATCTTTGTTTTGTTTTAATAGTATTTTATGAAAAATTACAATTATATATAATTATGAGGTATGCAGTGATGGGATATATGTACACAGTGTGGAATGATTGAATCAAGCTAATTAACATATCTGTCACTTTAAATATTTATCACATATACCTCCTGTCTAACTGCAACTTTCTACCCTTTGACCAACATCTCCCCATTTTTGCCATCTCCCATCCTCTGGTAAGCATCATTCCACTCTCTGCCTCTATGAGTTTGATTGTTTTAGATTCCACATGTAAGTGATTAAGTGTGGCTATTGTTTTTCTGTACCGGGTGTATTTCACATAATGTACTCCATGTTCATCTATGTTGTTTCAAATGACAGAATTTCCTTCTTTTTTCAAGGCTGCCTAGCATCCCATTGTGTATGAGGCTATTTGAAAAATTTCATGGAAAAATAGAATTAAGAAAATAATGTGAATCTTTCTGTAAACTTTTTGAAGACCACTTGTGGATACACCGCATTTTTAATTTGGGGATAACTGACATTATAACAACATGGAGTCAATAAACATAGTAAATATTTCTTTTTTTTTTTTTTCCTTTTTGTCTTTTTTCGTGACCGGCAACGGATCGCA